CTCATATACCACCAATCTAAGGTTGTAAGGCAGTTTATACCCCCTTGTGTGAGCAGTATACAACCTCCATACCTCCAAAACCCATACCAAACAATTCCCCTGAAAAAATACCTACCATAAACTGTCCAGCGCTGAGGCAAGCTAAAGTCCCCCCACGAGGACTTTGAGGGTAGCTTGAGGGGTCCACGGACATGAACAGGAACGGATGTACGTACATATTTTGACTTGATTCTCTCTTGAAGGGACCGTCACACCATGTGAAGTCCCTAGCAAGCCCAGTGTGCAATCAAGGCCCACATCATTACTTTATGTTATTCTCTTTCAAGGGAACCCTGTTGGGGGTCGGTCAAGCCCACACAATGTGTTTGTTTCCTTTTCAGGGTACCCTTTGAAAGGGGGGCGGGTTGAGGGACGAAAAACAAAGAGATCAACCCTTCTGGCGCTTCGATTTGGGGGCAAGTTTCCCTAACCATCCAAAGGGCATATAAAATTATAGATTCTGTTAATTTCGGCATGCATTTGAAGTTCTTGGTTCAGATCCTGGGGAATCCCAAGACTCGTTTGAGTCTGCAAGTTTGTTTGACAAGTCAGCCGCTGGACTTGGTCACGAGGGTTCTTATTAGGATCCGTTCACCGACACTTTTGAACGGCAACTCCAAAGTGGACAAGTCAGTAGATGGCGCAGCCCAAAGCCTTTTTTGCTGATGGTCATCTTTACTCCAGGGAATGGTGTGTCGACTTTCACCCTGGCGTGATGAAAAGCCATAAAACTCCTCCTTATGGGAGCCATGACCCCAAGCCTGGGGTGTGTTGCCCCAGCATATCTAGATCTTTCTTCAACATGGCGGACCCCCTTTTGGCAGGTATAACATCTCTACTCTTGGTAATTATGGTAGCAAAAAACTTTGTTTTTGCAGACCCCCAGTAAAAATGAACAGAACCAAAAAACTAAAACACAAAAAAACATGCCAAGAACAGCGAAGATAACTTATTCGAAGGGAACAAACAGTGTTAATGGACACCCGAAACTTTGGGCAACACCCATTTGAGGTCTGAGAGAAACCCCTGCCAGGTGTCTTGAAAATTGCTTCTTGGGGTTGTTACAGACCTTCTGTCTGGATTTCGCCTGGATCTACTCGGTAGTGAACCGACCTCATTTGGCTGTGGCTCAAAAAGTGGAATCCCAAATATGGCCCCTTGGTAAATGGAAACAAAGACAAAAGCGTGCGTAACCCCAGCTGTTTAATTTTGAGCCACGCCCATTTCAAAATCTGCCAACCCCCGATGAGCATCCATCCCCCAAGACCATATGCTGGATGACAGAGCCGCATGTTGGCGTGAAAATACTTCGAGGGTCACTTCGGGTGGGGATTTCTAAAGGGTGTTTGCCCTTTAACAGGGCTTACTGCATTCCCCCTTCAAAAGTTGATCAATTTACTGTTGGCTTCCACTAACACTGCCACTTTGAAAGCTTCCTAAAAGTTGAAAACATGGCTCGGACAAGTTGTTTCGTACACTCAAAAAGCCAAACGCGCCAATATGCGCCAATCAAACTTTGAGGTCCCCGCCGGCGAAAGCCAACAACCCCCGCCCCAACAACCCCCGCACAACCCCCTCGCGGGCGAAGGAGACATGTCTTGCTTGACGTTGGGTTTGGGGAGCAACAAATTTCAAATTTTAGCCATTGAGTCTTAAAACCAAAACCACACCGATTTTATCATTTTTTGGCAACATTTTGAAATTTTGGGATTTCAACCACTCAAAACCATCACCAGCGCAAAAATATGCGCAACCGCCGTTTCCCAACGATCAAACAACGCCCAGCGTCTTGTGTCGAGGGCTCCCAGGCGCTGATCGAATCGGCTCCTGACCCGAGGGGTCGACTGGCGGATGGGGATGGACGTTGTTAAGGGGGGAACGGGGCCCTCAGGCTCCCTAAAGAAACCTAAAAAACAGAAGGATGGCTTTCAAAAGGAACAAGGCTTGACGTTGACGTTGGGTATGGGAGCAAAAATTGAAAACACAATTGAGCAGATAAGTGCTAGGATTTCAACCAACAAAACCACAATAAGCAAACATGTAAAATGTGTCCCAACAACAACCATGCAGGCTCCCTAGGGAAACCTAAAAAACCTGAAGGATGGCTTTCAAAAGGAACAACATCCAGGTACCTCCCCACCAGTGCCATGTTAGTAGGAAGGGTCTTGGAGCCATCAAGTTGATGGACTTGTTTTTCCGAGTTTTTATGCAAAGGTCACCAATTAAAATTCGTGGTACAGGTACTAAGAAATGGGTATACATCTAGGGGTACCTTCCATTTCCATTCTTTCCAGGGATCCTTCTTTTCAGGAAACCACCAAAACCTCTCAAAAAATGGCGTTTTTCTTTTTGAAAAGAACGATGGCTGAAAAGAATGGGGATTCAACCCCCTAAAGGTATACGTGCTTGTGCTGTGGGAATCGGTCGGCAATTCGTGAAAGACGGGGCCCCATGTTGAAAA